CCATCCCCTAATATAGCGCACAACACATATTAGGAGTTAATAAATATTTGTTGAATGAATGAACAAATAAAGGGCAATAGCAAGAGCATCAACAGGTTAGTGACTTGTTTTTGATAACATAAAAATAGAAATAATAGACATGCCCAATGTCCAGGGAAAAGCATAACTTCGCATCCTTAGGTTCCTCACCCAGAATTGTGGCATAATTACTTTTCCCCCAGAATTCCATAGCCTTAAAACCATCATTCTCAGTGCCTGCAAAAAAGACCCAAAGAGCTGCTTTTCCTCCTGGAGGACTTAAAGGTTACATTCCAGTTGTTGCCATCAGAAAATAGCCCTGCAATTAAAATTAAGATGTTGGTGCTTTAAGCTTTTCCATGTTTTGGTGGTTATTGGCTTAGGATTGAGTCCCAAGAGTGGAATAATTAGGACAAAGGAAATGAACATTTTTATTGCTCTTGCTTCATATTGCCAAATCACTTTCCAGTAGGGGATCGTGCTGATTTACACTGAAGACCAATCTGAACCAGCCCCAAGGAAATCCAGATCTTGCCTGTTTACATTGCTGGTTTTCATTTCCCCATTCTGCAGTAGCTTGTTAATATTAGTGCTGACCTTTGGGGCAAGGCGAACACATGGTTGGCCTGAAGAGAAAAGGCTCTGGGTGACTCAGGAACTTCTTTGGCAGCTGATATTTCAACAGCGGGCACACACCCCCTCTTACCAAGGGTACATCCCCAGCCTTCCCAGGGAGCCAACGAGTGCCTCCAGGCTCCCTGCTTGATGCCACTCTCTGTACCTGCTTTGGGGGTCTAAATGCAAGAGAGCCGTGTGTCGTGTATTGGATAACTAGCGATGGAAGAAAAAACCTCTAGGAGAACAGGTAGGTGAAACAGAAGGAAAAATAGATAGGAGTTAACACAAACCCAAATACATTCTTTAGGCTCTCTGGAAAGTTTTCTTGGAATAGGTGGACACTCAAACTGTTCACTAAAGTGTATGGAAAGTTGGGGATAACATGATTTCTATATTTCATTATCTATCATCCATTCTGACCTGTCTTTGTGGAACACTGGCCCAAAGGGCAGTTCCCTAGCACTTTAGAAGTCTCTTTAACATGGTCTAGTCCAGTTTTGAATGAACTGGGTGATAGAGATTGTATCTCTTACCTCCCAACTGCTGTATAAAGTAGGGCAGGTTTGCTGTGACACTTTGAACAAGTCTTTTAGCTTCTCTGGGCTTCAATAGCCTCCTCACCAAAATGGAAATTGAAGTCCCTCCTATTTCCCTCAGAGGACTGTCACAAGGTGAAGAGGAGTGGGATGACAGGAACTAAAGCTCTTCTGAAATATTTCAGGACTTCCGTGCTCTGTCTTAGTGATCCTACTTTTTCTGTAGCCTCCACAGGCAATACCACACATAACCCTCCAGCTGCTCTTCTCCCTGAGTGACTATGGTCTGTGGAGGGCTACTCCTAGGACTAGGATAGAGCAAACCTTGGGCCCCAGGCATGGGGCTGAAAGTAGTGGGGGGATGGTGGGCCAGGGCAGTGGCCAAGAAGGAAGTGGATCCTAGGCTGCTGCCACAGAAGGCCTGATATTCACATATAGGCACCTGACCTGTAAGCATGCAATCTCCCCTCCTCACCCTAACACAAATGCATTCACACCCACACACTCGAAGAATTACCAATAAGAAGACCCCATTTGTGATTTTGATACCCATCAGTACTGTCTTGATACTGCTTTTAATGAGATTCTCCCATACACTCCATACTTTGGGAGGATGGTCAGGATCTGTGGGCCTCAGGTAGTCATACTTTATGCTTTTCCTCCATAGAGTTAACCCCAAATTAGAATTTGTGACTCAGCTCTTGGTCTTGAGTGAGTCTCTGATACTGAGTGAACAATTTTTTCTGTAACCAGTTAATTGGAACTTTTTTCTGGGGGGGGACTTCATTCTTTTGTTCTTTCTGTTCTGCCCCGTTCAGGGTTGAGAAACTTTCTAGATCCTACTACCACCTTCTACCTTCAGACCAAGTTAGTTCCCCCACCCAGTTCCCTGGATAGCTCTCTTTTATAAAATTTACCTTTGTTGAATGGGGATTATTTGTACACATGTTCATCTTGTCTAGGGCAGAAAGATGTAGATTGAGCAAGTCTCCTCTGTGCCAGGGCCTGAGCTGGACGCCTGGAAACAGATCACAGATAACTGAGATCCAGTCCCCATCCTTAAGGAGCTCACAGTCTAGTAGGAAAGTAGACCGGTAAAAGGTGGATACTTGCTCAGATAAACAGAAGCATATAGGCAATGTGGGAACCAAAGCCAAGGCTTCTCAGAGGAGGTGAGCATTGAGCCTGGCCTTGAAGAGTGAGTCAGATTTCACTGAGAATGGAAGGGAAGAGAAGGCATTCCAGGCTGAGCAAAGGCCCAGAGGCAAAAAAGTACACAGTAAGTTTGGGGGCCTAGTGAGTCAGCTGGCACAATTTAACCACAGGGGTCTAAAGAGAGACATGACTGGAGAGACACGTTTGATTGAGAAGAGCCAGGGCTGAGGCCTTCCCATAAAGCTTGTTTAGTTTTCCTACTTCTGGGGATCAGAATTGATAACAGTGGTTAAAACACACACACACGCACACGCGCGCACACACACACACACACACACTCAGTTCCAGGTAGTTTTAAGTTGGGTTTTCAAGCCTGGATCCTAAGTTTACCCTTTCAGACCTTGTCAAAAGCCCGCTAAGCTCCTATCTCAGATTTCCTGCTGCTAAATTTATCTTTCTGCCTCTTGGCAGGGTCATGAGGACAAAACTGTAAACATAGAAGAGGGGTTCATGTGACTGGATTGATTACCTCGGACAAGCCACTTCCCCTCCCTAGACCTCAGTTTCCCTGTGAGGCTAGTGAGAATGTTTGGAAGGAGCAGCTATGATGAGGAATATGTTTCTTTGTGGGCCATGGAAAACATACATGTAAAGGGTTATTATTCAGATTACTAGCCTTAGCAGAGTGATACCAGTTAGGAGACTTATTACGATTAAGAGAGTTGCATGTCTTCCAAACTCTAGTTCTAAGACTCTAAATGTTCTGAGCTAATCTAGAAGACCACATTCTTAAATCAAGCTTGATTGATCAGTTAACCAAAGAAAAACCCTGGACTGGAGAAATCAGATCCCCAGTGTTCTATTTCTAACTTGGTGACTTAATTTACTATAGGATCTTAGGAAAATACTTCCCTCTCTAGGCTTCCATCTTCTTACCTGAGAGGGTTGGATGCAATGATTTCTAGGGGACCTCTGTATCACAAAACCAAAAAAGTAAAAGTGAATTCATCTTTCTAACTGATTGGCATGAGCTCTTTATTTATTATAAATGTTAACCCTTTGTCATAATTTTGTAAGTTTCCTTTACTGAGTGTTTCCTGAATGCTCAGCATTACACCAGAAGTTGCATATTAGCCAAGGAGGCAACTGACCTTTTACTTCACAAAGGGAATCAGAGTGTTAGGTAATATATAATGAACATTTTCCAGGTTACTTTATATGTGTTAACACATTGAATCTTCAACAACCCTAAGGGAGTAGGTACTCTTATGAGATGAAAACACCACGGCACTGAAAAATTAAGTCTTCTACCCAGCGTGTCATAGCAAGGGGCAGAGGTGGGATTCCACTCCAGTAGTGTGACTCCAGAGCCCATTGCTTTTAACCACTGTTATCCACTGCCTCAGTAGATTCATTTAGAAGGGCAGGCTTTGAAATGTATTGAAAGTTTGGTATGATTTATACACAACAAATGGAGGGAATCTAACCCTTATGTAGACTAGGATTCTGAGAATGTATTTTAGGGAACTTCTTAAAAGGCAAAGTGGAGCTGAGAGCATTGGAGGTCAGGGATTGGAGATTGCTATCCCCATGAGATTGCCCCAGTGTTGCCCAGCTCAGTGGAAGAAATTGAGCTTTCTTGTAGCCAATCACTGGAGGCTCATCAAGGGGTGGGAAGGTTGCAAAAGAATGAAGTAAGAGCACACTTGGACGCCTTCCAGGTAAGCGATGCTGTTAGATGAGTACTACACATAAAAGCTTCAAAACAACCAGGGGGATGGGGGAGGGTAAAGCAGAGACATCTGGGTAGGATGGCTCTGGCCTATGGACTTGTCCTACTTTGAGGCCATTGCTCCCAACTCACCACACTCTGCCTGCTGCAGCCTCCCCCCCTAAGCCTCCATCCCCATGACTTGGCATGAAGAACTTTAGTATGGTTCTGGGTCAGATCACAATGCCTTTCTCCCTAGGGGACCTGATGGCAGTTGGCAGTCACGTGAACAGTGCTTATCATCTCTCCCCCTAGCAATGGCTGCATTCACTTCTCTTCCCAAGGTGTCCGATTCACTCTGATTTATTTAGCTTTGGCTGGAGAGAGCATAAAGATGATCAGATAGTGCCCATCTCTCCAAGAGTGTCCTGGGTAGCACATTTTAGGAGAGAGAGGCCCTTCAGTAGGAAAGGTAGCAGAATTCAGGGAAGACAAGGGTTGCAATGCCATTTGCGGGGAAGAGCATTGAGGCAGTAAACCTTCCACTTCCAGTTCAGACCTAAGATTGCTAGCTCAAAACATTGCGTTTTTCAGTAGGGACTTTGTGCTTGTGTATTTGTACTTGGGAATCTTGCATTTCTGATGTGGATCTCTGTTTCTGGGTTGGAATTTGACATTCTACTTGGGCCTGTTTTTTTATTTTGAAGCTATGAAAGCTGCTGAGATCTGCCTGCATCACCTTTGCCTCCCCACCCCACACAGGATATAAGCACATGATCTTCGGTCTTTTATTTGCATACTCTACTAGTCCTGTCTTCATTGGAGGGAAGTGACTGGCCAGACGTGGGCTGTCTTGCTGGCTGCCTTCCTTGCTGGGCTCCAACTTATCTCTTATGTACACAGCCCTTGGAGTTCAGAGGCCTCTGCTGACCTCTGTCCAACCTCTCCTCTGCACCCAAGCCCCCACTGGTACATACAGGAGCAGAGGCAGACAAGGCAGGCAATGACTAGGAGACAGGAGAGGGGCTGGAGACAGGCTGCTAGAGAGCTCAGAACCCCAGCACACCTCCCTGTCCCAACTCTGTCCACCACCTGCTGTGACCACAGCAACAGAAGAGACAGCTAATAAGACAAAGTGAGGCCCGGTACCTTGAGGACAGTGGTGTCATTAGCTGCAACGCCTAGGATGTCTCGAGAGATGGGAGAACTCACCCAAACCAGATTGCAGAAGATCTGGATTCCACACAACGGTGGCAACAGCAGGCTGCAACGCAGGAGGGGCTGTAAGTGGGGTTTGCTTCCGTGGGCTTCAAGGTGGTGGTGGTAGAGTGGATGTAGAAGAACAAAGGACATTCCCCCCAACCACCCCCACCCCAACCTGAAAGTTGGAATAGATGAGCAGCTGGATGAAATAGCTGTAGGATAGATAACAAGAGGCTAATGTCAAAAAGGTAGAGAAAGAAAGATAGAAAGAGAGAGATGAAGACAGAGAAAGAATGAGGATTATATAAAGACCATCATAATCAGAGGGAGTTTTGACTAGGAATTTTTTTCTTTCTTAACCAGAGCTTGTTTGGAATACTTCTTGTTGGAAATTTGATGTTTCTAGTTCAATGTTAGCCTAAATGTTTTATTTTGGTGACATCAGTGAAGTGTCTGGAAATTAGTACTGTCTGATAGTGCTTGGGTGAAATAAGGTGATGGTTCCTGGCATTGTTTCTCAGAGGACAGGTGATGGGTACACAGCAGTACCGTATCATTGGTCGGTTTTGCTCCTCCCCTTTCTCAGGCCTCTTCTAATAAGCCTCTGACTGGGTTGGGAAAGGCTGGGTGTCCTGTCTCCTGCATTGCCTTCTTGGCACATATGGACACTTTTGCTGCTCTGGGGAGTTGAGGGAGAAGACATTCAGGGAAAGCCTGCTGGTGTAATGTTCACTTTGAAAATTTAAGAAAGCAGGTTCAAAGGGGAAGCAAACAAAACCTGTAAAATATATCTTTTAAGTAGACTATACCATTTCCAATAGATAACAGTTTACAGTTGTGGATCAAGGTGCTGCCAGCCCAAGAATTTTGGCCTGAGGAGCCATAAGGTGTGCAGAGATAAGACAGCTGTGGAGTGTGGGACCCAGACATCTCAAGGACCAACTGACCAAGCTTCCACTGTGCTAATGCTAGAGGAGGTCCAGGCTCAGGGCTAGTGAGGGGAGGATCCAGGAAGATGTAGGATGTTAAATATACTATGTAGAATGGAGGGTGTGGATAGAGGGAGACGGGTAAAAACCAACCTCCTGTTCTTCTTCCTCCTCCTCTCCACCAGCAGTTTCAATCTCTCATCTGGTGATCTAGGAGCCTGGATGAGACTGAGAATTACACCCCACCCTCACTCACCAAGCCACTCTATCCTTTCTAAGGGGCTGTTGGGTTTAGCTGGCAAGCAGGCAAGCCAGTCTCTGCATACCTGGGTCCTCCATTGTTAGGACCCTTATATTCCTGGGAACTCTGTCTTTCAGGTTGGAGAAATAATAGATATAAATCACCTATTATAGTGTTTGTCATATAGAGGGTGCAAAATAAATATGTGCTCACTTTATTTCTGAGCCCGTCTTTCCTCAGCTGGAAGACAGAATTAATACCTACTTCCCCATGTTGTTGAGGTGATTCAGTGATTCAGACTGCCTAGCTTTGAGTCCCAGCTCTGCCACCTCTTGCCTCTGTGACCTTGGACAATTCTCTTAACTTACCTGTCCTTCCATTTCCTCACCTGTCAAAAGAAGTTAGTAATAGTGTTGTGAAGATTAGAGAACTAAAGCATATAAAATGCTTAGAAGAATGTCCGGTGCATAGTAAATACTCAATAAATCTTCTTCTTCTTATTATTATTATTTAAACAAGAAGGTGGGTGTGTGGTCTTTTTGCCCATCATATCCCCAGCATCAAGCCCGAAGCCTGGCACATAGCAGATACTCAGTAAATGGTCGCTCTGTGCTACTTCCACTCTACCACTCACCATAGCCAAGCATGGGGCTCTGTGTATACAAGACAGTAACTCATCAGTGATTGACTGAATTATGTCAGACCGCAGATATAATAAACTTAGATAGTGCCCTGGGCAATGTCTGCCTCACCTCCCTTGCTGAGGAGGCTAGGCTATTTACCCCAGAAAGATCTGAATTACCTCCTGCTTGGAGCATTCTCTCTAGAAGACCTGCCCACCCCCACAGTGGGCAGTGGGGGAGGGGATGCACACAATCACTTAATGACGGTTTTGAGGATTAAATGCATTAACGTGTGTAAAGTGCTTGAACAGCTGTGTATATTCATCTGTGACTTGGTTTTTCGCATTCAGTGTTATGTTTTTTTGTGCCATGTATAATATTGTTGCATGCAGTTGTAGTTTGTTTATTCTCCTTGCTGTGTAATATTACATTTTGTGAATATCCCATGATTTACTTATCCATCTTACTATTGATGTACCTTTAGGTAGTTTCGTTTTGGGTTATGAACAATTATGCAATGAGGATTTTTGTCCCCATAAATTTTGGAATCACTTTTTCAAGTTACACACACACACACACACACACACACACACACACACACACACCTTTTGGGATTTTGATTGGAATTACAGTCAGTCTGTATATCAATTTAAGGAGAATTAACATTTTGTGATATCGAGTCTTCTGTAAACATGGTGTGCCTCTCTATTTAGACTTTTTCGATGTTATTTTAGTGAAGTTTTATAAGTTAAAAGGGCTTATACATCAGTATAAGACATTTTTTGCTTATTTTTGTTGCTATTGTATACCTTTTTAGAAAATTACATTTTATACCAATTTATTGCTAATGAGTACAAATATAATTGTGGCTTTTTCATATATTGCATTTGCAACTAGCAAACCTGATAAACTTTCTTATTAATTTTGATAATTTATATGTAAATGACAGTTTTCTTTTTTCCCTTCCAATCCTTATTTTTTAAAATCTCTTTTCTTATATTACTGCACTGCTAGGACCTCCTACCTTTGATACATGTGCACCAACGTCGAATAGAAATGTTAGTATTGTGCATGTTTATGTTGAACCTAATTTTAAAGGTAATGCTTTTAAAGTTTCACCATTGAGTAAGTTTGCTATCATTTTTTTTGTAGATACCATTAACAGGTTAAGAAAGTTCCAGTTTGTTCTTAGTTTGCCAATAGGACTTTTTTTTACTCCTATCTACTTTATTTACTATTATTATTAGCCAATAATAATTATTTAACAAAAAATTTACCTTCTTAGCAATTTTTAATGTGTACAATATTATTAACTATAGGCACTATGCTGTACAGTAGATTTCTAAGATGTACTTTTCTTGCACAAACAAAACTTTGTACCATTTGACTAATACCTTCTCATTTCCCCTGCCCCATCCTAGCCCTTAGCAACCACCATTCTATTTTTTGCTTTTATGAGTTTGACATTTTTAGATCCTAAACATATGTGGTATCAAGCAGCATTTTTCATACTGTTCTTGGTTTACATCACTTAGTATAATATTCTCCAGTTTCATCCATGGTGTTGCAAATGGCAGGATTTCTTTCTTTTTAAAGCCTGAATAATATTCCATTACATATATGCATGTATATGTACATTTCCTTTATCCATTCATTCACCAGTGGGCACTTAGGTTACTTCCATATCTTGACCATTGTGAATAATGCTGCTGTGAATATGAGAGTGTAGGTATCTCTCTGAGATCCTGATTTCAATTTCTTTGGATATATACTCAGAAAGGAGATTGCTGGATCACATAGTAGTTCTCTTTTTAACATTTGGAGGATTCACCATACTGCTTTCCATAGCAACACCGATTAACATTCCCACCAACAATGTATGAGGTTTCCCTTTATTTCCACATCCTTGTCAACAGTTGTATTTCATTTTTTTAGGATAGCCATCCTAACTAGTGTAAGATGATATCTCACTGTGGTTTTGATTTGCATTTCCTTGATAATTGATGATGTTGAACATCTTTTCATACACCTGTTGTCCATCTGTATGTCTTCCTTATAGAAATATCTATTCAGACTCTTGCCCATTTTTAAAGTAGGTATTTGGTTTTTTGGCTGTTGGGTTGTAGTATTTCCCTATATATTTTGGATATTAACTCTTTAGCAGATATAAGGTTTGCAAACATTTTCTACCATTCCACAGGTTGGCTTTCATTTTGTTGTTTCCTCTGCTATACAGAAGTTTTTAATTTTATGTAGTCCTACTTATATATTAGGATATTTTAAAGATGAGTAAATGTTGAATTTTATAAACATGCCTTCTGTATCCACTGAGATGACAGGTTGATTTTCTATTTTAATCTGTTAATGTGAATTACATTAGAGGTTTTTCTTGTTTGTAACTTATCTTGCAATCCTAGGATAAATAAAAACTGCTGGATTTAGTTCATTAATATTTTGTTCAGGAATTTGGCATTTTGTTTATGAATGAGAGTGACCGGTACATTTTCCATTCTCATAGTTCCAGGTCCCTGTTTGACTTTTGTGTCATAAAATGAAGTGGGAACTATTTCCTTTCATTCTATTTTCTCACAGAGTTTGTCCAAGGAACTATTCGTTCTTTAAATATTTAGCACAACTTTCAGGTAAAAATATCCGGGCTTGATGTCTTCTTTGTAAGAAAAATTTTAATGGATACAGCCTTTTAAATAGCTATAGAATCATTCCAGTTTGCTATTTCTTCTTGTCAGTGTTGTTAAATTACGGTTTTCTAGGAATTTTTCTATTTCATGTCATTTTTCAAATTTATTTGCATAAACTTCTTATCTCCATATTTTTAAAAATCTCTGTTGCATTTATATCCTCTTATCCTTGTTTATTTTACCTTCTCTTTCTTCCTCTTGATCAATCTTGCCAAAAGTTTGTCACTTTTATAAGTTTTTTAAAATAGTCAACTTTTGGCTTTCTGATTCTTTCTCTGATGTCCTTTACTTTTTATTTAGCTATTTTCCTTATCATTATTCTTTTCTTTTCACTTTACTTGGATTTATTCTGTTGTTCTTTTTTTAATTTCTGGAGTTGGATGCACAGCTTATTAATTTTCAGACTTTCTTCCTTTTGAATATAAGCATCTGATTGTATAATTGGCCTACTAAACAGGGCTGATATTCCACAGATGCACAATTGTATGGACATATGAATTTTAAAACTATTTCCAGACCATTTGGTAAATACGCACTGCTCCAGGCTTTCTTAGTTTCTCCATCACTTACCCAGTAGCCCTGGCCACC